CCTGGCTGCACATTTTGGGGAGGAAGGGGCAGAGCAATCAATAGTTCCATTTTGGTCATGTTCCATCAGAGACGGCTGGGGGACGGTGAGGGGAGATGTCAGGTAGACCGGTAAATATATGAGTCTGAGCTTGGGCTGGAGATATAAATTCGGGGGTTGTCAGTCATGGGAATGGATATTATCAGCTAGTGAAAAGGGAGAGAGGGAAGAGAACAGGGCCCGGGTCCAGGCCTGGGAACCCCCAACATTAAGACGGTAGAGAGAGGAGGAAGAACCTGCAACAGGGAAAAGGAGAGGAATCTGGAGAGATGAAAACCAGATTGGTAGCATCATAAAGTCCAGAAAGGAGTGTCTTAGAGGCAGTAGAGGGTGGAGGCAGTGCCAGATACAGCTGAGAGGCCAAAGATGGTGAACAATATAGGCTTCCCTAGCTGTGGCAAACAAGAGCCACTGATGACAGTAATGAAAAGAGAGAGAGAGAGGAGTTGGAGCTAGGTGAATTGGGGTAGGAAATCAGAGACAGCTTGTGAAGACAACCTTTTTGAGAAGTCTGGTTATAAAGGGGAATAAATAAATATACCCACCATGCACAGTGCCACACACCTGTAGTCTCAGCTACTTGGGAGGCTGAGGCAGGAGGATCACAAGTTTGAGGCCAGCCTGGACAACTTAGAAAGACTCTGTCTCAAAAAGAGAGAAATACACCTGCAAAGGATGAGCTACTAAGGGTGGGATATTTAGGGATGAGAAATACTAAAGTGTGTTTGGAAACTAACAAAACAATCACTAGAGAGTGAGAGGTCATGCCTTAGGTTTGTTGTGTTTTTTTAAATAATGATAAGAACTTATAATTGTGTAACTCTTCACAGTTTACCAAGTGTTGTCACACACACTGTCACACTTAATCCTCACAACCATGAGGTATGTGGCAGCCCCCGAGCTACAGAGTTTTAGAGATGGAAACTGAAATTAGAGAAATTGAGTGACAAGCTCAAGGTTGGACCCAGGACCTGGCAGGGCCAGGGCCCACCCCCACCTTAGATTGCTGTTGCCCCCACTCCCTACCTGGCCTATCCTTTGATATCAGAAGCCAAAGCTGCCTTTCAAGAACACGGGACCTTGTTCTACTTCCTGGCCCATTTAACTGCGCTTCAAAGCCTCCTGGATTTCTATAGTGCCTGACAATCTCCGGCATGTATCAAGGAAAATGTGCAGCTCTCATCCAGCTCCCCAGCTCCTCCGGGTGGGGACTGACACCAGAGTGACTGAGGGCAAGAAATCTCAACTCTACACCTGTGCGTGCGCAAAATGGGGCTCCTAACAGGACTCCCGTCCTGGGATGGCCATGAGACTCAGAGGAGCTTAAAGGTGCACAGTGCTCAGCACAGGGCCTGGCACGCGGGGACTGTTCTCTTAAGGCTGCTCTTGATCATCATGATTTATTCACTCCCTCCTCCCCTACTCATTCTTGCATCTGACTTTTGTGGAGTCCCATCTCCTGCCATGCATTGCTCTAGGCACGGCACAGACACAGTCACCTGCATGCTTCTTGGGCACTAGAAGCTGTGTTTAATGAGGGAAGAGATGCTGGAGCACAAACACCTCTGCCCTGGCAGGAACAAGCAAGGTGTAGACGCCGCGGGTATCCAGAAGAGAAACTGTCACACCCAGTTGGGACAGGCTTCACAGGAGGCTGGGGTGGTGGGGAGAACACTCTTTACTGGAGGGGTGCAGCAGCTGGACAAAGACACTGGCGTAGCCAAAAAGGGCAGAGTCTGTTCTGGGGAGAGTGAGGAAGCAAATGGGAGCATCAGCTCCCTGGAGAAGAGGGAGGGGATGAGGCTGGTTCTGCAGAGGGAAGATAGTGAGTGGCTTTGGGCGTTGGTCCAGGAGACCCAGCTAAGGCCAGCCAGTGAGAAGGAAGGACTGGCAACTCCAAGAACTGTCCCCTGGTCTTGCCTGGGTCTGGTCAAGAACCCGCCTAGGATCTGCTGGGCTGGCTTCATGTCTGCTGTCCCTAGAGGAGTGGTGTAGGGGAGAGGGGAGAAGTGGCTAAAGCATCCATTTTCATCCCAGGCCGCCATGGAGGTCTGCAGAGACCTCTGCACATGCTCACTTGGTAACAGATCAAAGAATTTGACCAGCCCAGCAACCTCACCCTATGATCCCCCTAGGGGGTCTCCTGGAACTAGCACCCCCTATTCTTCCAGGAAGAGATGAGTCAGGGCTATCTTTTCCCTGGGGCCACTATCATGGGGGCAAGGACCCTGTGTGTACCCCAGCCAACCCAGATTCAGGGCAACAGGACTTGCCCTCAAAACATGTGGAGGCTATGGTTCCTCCCCACTTACTGGACCTGGCTTCAGGCAAGGGGGCAAAGAAGGGAATCAGTGCTGGACTTTATAAAGTGGAGGCTGTGAGAAGGATGGTTGCTTCCTCTGCCCATGTTGCAAGACAACAGAGCTTAGACCCACAGAGCTCCTTAGCCACTGGCTTTTCCACCTCAGCTCTGTAATCTCTTGCTCTACATGCTATGGAACGTGGTACATAAAATAAAATGCATCAACACAGAAATGGTCTGGTTGAAACTGAGAATAGAGGCCCAGAGACATGCCCTCACATCCACACTTGTCTGTGCATTTTGGAACCTTCTCATTTAGTCTAACTCGCTCATGTTACAGAAGACAAACCTAGAGCCTAGAGAGGGAAATAACCAGCCCAAGACCACCAGTTTAATCTTTGGCAGAGCTAGAAAGAATTTTAAGAAGCAAAAAGATTAGAAAGTGCTTTGTAAACTGTAAAGTACTGTCAAAACATCAGGTTATCTCCTCCATTTACATGAAGTTCTCAGGAATTTCTCATGGCCACTACTTTGGGGGAGGCTACCAGGAAAAAACATGCAAAAGACTAAGAGTGTTGAAATCATACGCAGTATGGAAAGATCCCAAGATTTGGACCCTGGAGACATAGAGGCCCAGAGCTGCCACTTATGGACCATGTAACCTTGAACCTCACCATGCCTCAGTTTCCTTTTCTAGAAAAATGCCTTACCTATTTTGTTTCTGGGATTGTGTGGGGCTCAAGCAAGACAATGCATGAAAGTGCTTTGAAGAAGAGCAAGAACTCTATGAGCAGTCATCTTATGAGGTAGACGTAGGAGTGATGGAAGAACAGAAGGCTCAAGGTTTTCAAGACCAGAGTTCGGCATTCACAAAGCATTTCCTGTCCTGAGGGCTGGAGCCAGCTGCTGACAGTGCCGGAACCCGAGTGTTCTGTCTCCTGTGCCTAGACATGTCTGCAAAGGTAGCACTGTGCCCTTGATGCGCAGCCCTCCGACACACTTCATCAAGGTGTCTAAGGCACAGCCTTCCATCACCTTACTCTGACTCAGCCCCAGGGAGCTCCAATTCTCCCTCCCTACACAATGGATGCCAGAAGGCACCCGGCCAGCTGCCCCACAGCCCCCAAACTTCACTGGCTTATGCATCTTGGTGACAAAGGAGAAGGTCAGATTGGCTCTGTTTCAGAAAAGAAAGTGATTTCTCTCAAAGACTTGGGAGACTTCTTTTCACCTCCCCAGGTATTCTCGGCCAGCTCTTGAACTTCACTCAGGATGGACACATTCGACTCAAAGCATAGGCAAGCAGCCAGGAACTGTGCAGATGGGGGTGGCTGGGTTTCTTTTCTTCAAAGGCTGATGCTCCCAGGAGGCGAGAGGCCTCCCAACATTCCTGGCCATGAGGCCTGTGGGGTTGACCTTGGGCACTCTGCTCCCCTGTCAGACCTTTGATTTCTCCAGGTGGAAAGGTGATGGGAAGCCATCTGCCATGGAACACCTATGTCCTTAGGACTCAAGCAAGAGCTCTGAGATTTTACACAAATATTTGTTGAGCACCTACTCTGTGCAAGGTACAGTGAAAAAAATGGACTGAAAATTCTGTCCTTATAGCACTGACATTCAGCCGAACCAATAGAGATGGAAGAGGCAAAATAAACAGGCAAACAGAGTGGCTGGGGCAGGGGGGATCAAGGGGAATGAAGGGAGGAAGAAGAGTATAGGAGTGGCAGTTACAGGTTGGAGAATGTGGTCAAGGAAAGCCTCACTGAGGAGCAAATGAGCAGGAGGTGAAGAGAGACAGTGGTATGGCTGTCTGGAGGAACAGCATCTTGGACAGGGGGAAATAACAAGTGCAAAGTCCCTGGCAGAGACATGCCTAGGGCTTCTGTATGGGCACAGGAGACAACTGAGAGTGCTGGCATGGGAGATGAGAAGTGACAGGCAGTTTCATCCTTGAGTTCCTTAGAAAAAGTTCCAGCAGGGCTGTCTAGCAACCTTAGCTGTTTGCACATTCTCCCACCCAAGATGCTAGCTCCACATGACTTCTGACATGCTGGGTCTTCTTACTGTTCCAGAGCTCAGCCCCTCTGGGGCTCACACAGGAATCTGGGGAGAGAGAAGGAGATCAGGTTCAGATCCTGCACCTGATGTTCTCTGTGTTACCTTGGGAAAGGTACCCACCTTTTCTGGACTTCAGTTTCCCTGATAAAGCTTATAACTTGCCTCATCTGCAACATGGTAAATAACACAGCCTCCTTGCCAATCTCACTTAATGGGTGTTAGTATTAAATTAATAAGGACATAAATGTGAACATGACTTTTATATTGAAATGTCCAAGATAAATGCCTGGGAGGTTTTTGTTTTCCTCAGCCAAGCTCTTAGTAAGGGGGTTGCCACTGGCCACCCACTCTCCTCTGTCACCCTTCCCCTTTATAGTATGTCCAATGCAGGTTCAAAGGACTCTCACCTTGCCTGGGTCCAAATCTAATCTAAGGAAACTCATCAGATACCCAAGGACTCCTGAGGCAAGGCTCCCCAGGAATGCTGTGGAGCTGAACTGCTCCACAGCATGTGAGAGGCCATTCCAGCCCATTGTTCTGTCAGGTGGACTGGTTGGACCCAGCTCCGCCTCTCCAATGTCCCCTCCCCATCCTCCTCCAGGTACAATGGCCCCAACCTGGTTCTGAAGTACAACAGGGCCCAGAAGCGGCTGGTGAACATCGCTGTAGATGAGCGCAGCTCACCCTACTATGCACTACGGGACCGGCAAGGCAACGCCATTGGGGTCACAGCCTGCGACATTGATGGGGATGGCCGTGAGGAGATCTATTTCCTCAACACCAACAACGCCTTCTCAGGTAGGGATGGAGACCTCGGGCTTCTTCCTGCTTCTGCCTTCCTCCTTCTAAAACCAGTTGAGGGGAGGGCCCTTGGGACCCTGGTGCATCCTCAAGCTACTGACCCTGGTACAATCCCTACTTCCTCCCGGATCTCTATGTTGAGCAGAAAACTCCACGATGATCCCATCTTCTCCTTTGATGAAGCCTGGCCCAAGGTGGAAGGGTATGACCAGAAGAGACCAGTTCTCTCCCTCAGGCTGGGCATCTTCAACACCTCCCAAACTGAGCAACACCTCCACCCTCCTACCTCTCTGGCCCATTCTGCTGCTCTTGCCATGGGCAAGTTCATGCCCTTTGTCCCTGCTTCCCTAAGTCACTGGTGTAGACAACAGATGTCCCTGGAATCACCCTCCACACTGCTCCAGGAAGCCTTTCTCAGATGCTTGGAAATCCTTAAACCCCTACAGCTTGTTGCTCAGCTCACATTCATTCCACACATTCTTGCCAATCACCTACTGCATGCCAGGCAGAGGCCCCATGTGACAGGGAGGTGATAAAGACAAACAGGAAGGCAGACCTGGACTCCATGAAGCTTTCTCCAGAGCTTCTCAAGCCGCAGTGTGTATCTAAGTTGCCTGGGGTGTGTACAGAAGCAGACTCTGGCTCCACAGGTCTGGGAACCCAAGAGCCTGCATTTCTGACACCATGTGGGCCTAAAGAGATGCCGCTGGTCCAGGAACCATACCCTGAGTAGCAAGGTTCTAATGCTGAGGAATGGGTGAGGGAAACTGATGCCTAGAAAGCTAAGTAACAGTGACAATAGTAACGGCTAATACTTAAGGAGTACCTTCTATGTGTCAGTCCTTGATCTCAGCACTTAATCTCATGTAAGTCTCACAACAGCTCAATTAGGAAAGCACTGGTAGTCCCACTTTGGAGTTGAGGAAATGAGGCACCAAGACATCACTCAAATTGCCCAAGACATTGCAGCTTGTAAGTTCCAGATTTCAAATGCCATCCTTTGAATCAAGATACTCTATGATTGTCTCAATCCTGTGTCCTCCAGGCAAGCAGAGTACATGGCTGGTGGGGGGCACTTGGTGTTTCATGAGTTGGGGACTTTCTTCTTTCTCAGACTTGGCCAGGGCCTACTAGAATCAAGTCCACTCTTGTGGGGCTGTACCAACTGTGGGAAAGTTCTGGGTCATAGCATTCACTAGGAGATGCAGGTTGGACCATGCCAGAGGGCAGCAGCCTCTTGGGTTGGCTCTGGATGAGACCTCGTGGTTCTGACCTATGCAAACACTGTCCTGGACCCTCCAATCTCCTGGAGGCTATCAAGTTCATGGGGACTCCTTCCCTGCCCCTGACAATCCCCAATATATACACACTGGGCCATAATGCTGCCTCTACCCACTGTCAGGCCCAACCCAGGGTTCAGCCCCTGGACTTCCCCTGGTGTTGAGCTCTGCCAGTTGCATGAACGGAGGGGAAGAGGTTGGGACCTGTGCCAGGGGCAGCAGTGGGTGGTGTTGGCTGGCTGGCAGCCAACCCTGTGCAGCCAAGAAACAATGAGCCACAGCCCCGAGTGGTGTTTTATGGGTTTTCATCTCATCTTGCCACCAAGTGAGGCCTGAGAGATGGTAATTATCCCTACACAAATATCAGGGCATGATTACCCAGCTGGATTTACTGCCTTCTTTCCAACCAAGCCAAGATTGGATTAGGACACAATTAATTGATGGGCTGATCAACTCTTTAATGTGGAGCAAGGTCAGGAAGGGAACTGCATCAAGGGACACTTGTAGAAGGGATGAATCCCCTTGAAGACTCTAGAAGTCCAGAAAGTGGACACGAGACAACTGTGGAAGGGTTGTTCCCTTTGGGTTTAGCACCAGGATGCCAAAGAAAGGGACAGACCCGCCCCCACACACACACACACTCTCACCAAGCACAGAGCACTTGTATGAGACCCCAGGTGTCTCAGAAGCAGCAGCTCCTCCTGTGCACTTAGAGTGCTGCAGGACTGTGGTTCCCAGCCCAGGCTGCACAGCAGAGTTTCCTGAGAGGTTCCTAACAATCTCAACTAGACTGCAGGCATCAGAGGGCTGCATGTAGGGTCCATTGTCCACTTATGAAGCTCTCCCTGAAATTCTTGCATCTTAAGAGAAAGGCCAGCATCTCAGAATCATATTAGTCCCATGCTCACCTCAACAATGATTAACGTTCCAGTCTCCCATTAATGTATTCATTCACTGAACAAATATTTATTGAGCACCTACTGTGTGTCAGGCACTGTTCTAAGCACTGAGCATATCTTTGTATGTAAATTACAGAAATCCTGTCCTCCTGAAGTTTACGTTCTACCCCAACATGGCCTTAAATTTCTCTAGTATCTGACTTCCCTCTCCCAGCCTTCTGGACTCTAAGCTCCTTAAGGGAAAAGTCCCTGTATTGGTCATATATTGTGACCCTCAGTGACCCAGCCAGACCTTGACTGTCCTCAGAACTCCAATAAAATTGGACAGATAAGTCCCAGGAAGAACAGGTGGGACTGAGCCATTGGGCTGAAAGAAGATTTGCCAGTAGAGGGATGTCAAGGGGAGGCAAATTACACTGAGCCCTAGAAGGATGCACAAATGCCCATCTGGAGGAGCTGGTGCTAGGCCCCAGACCTGGGGCAAGGACCATGATGCCCGGGAGCCTCAGCCCAGGCATGCACTTCCTGGTGTCCTTCTAAAAGCTTGAGGGATGTCTGCAGATTTGAGTTAATTTTTCAGTTAAGTGATTTAATTGATTCATCAACAGGGGACAGGATACGGAACCAGGACATTTGTGACTTCTCAGCACCTCCTTGGGTCCAATTGGCATGCCACTCAGCCACAGACACCCTGTCCACTGTGGGAGTCCTGCGAGCATGCCCATGGTTATCAGAGCTTTGGAGGGAGCTAGGGAAAGGCAGTCCTCTTCCTTCCCCCAGCCCACAGTTAGAATGTTAGTTCTGGGGTCCCTGGAAGAAAGCTGAGGCCCTGCAGTGTCCCGTGGGGGTCAGTTCATACCAACTTCACGTCTGCCCCTTACTTACTGGTGAATCTGTCTTCTGTAGGATAGGAAAAAATATCAGTTTCATAAACTCAGCTCCTTTCAATGGCTCTGTAGGTTATATGTAGTCTTTACCATGGCGTACATGGCATACAACACACCTGCCTAGGTTGCCTGTCTGACCTTTCTCCATTTTTTTCTTACTCTGAATTTCCACAAGAGAAATTCATATTTGCTGTTTTCCTTTCCTGCAATGCCTTTCCCATTGATTTGGGGGGGGGTACTCTTTAAATAAGACCACCTTACCTAAAGTCATACTGTCAAAGTCCCTAGGTGCTTGTCTCCCTTTATCTTCCTTTGTGGCACTTGCCCCTACCAGAAAGTGTGGTGTATACTTACTTGTTGTCCATCTTCCCTACCAGACTCTTAACTCTAGGGAATAGAAACTGCCTTGTCCACTGTTGTACTCTAAGACCCAAAGAAGTACCTATCACGTAGTAAGCATTAAATGTGTATGTTTGAATGAACAGCTAGGATAATGAATGGAAAGCATTTATTACGGTGTGCAGGGCTTAATAAGTACTCTCAAACATTAGCTGTTATAACTCTGTGGCTATGAAAAAAGCCAGGACCTCTAGAAGTTTTCTGGGAAGAGGGCCACGGGGCTTCTTCCCGGCCCATGGCAAAGGGATCCTGGGAGCAAAAAGAGAAAAGGTAAAGTGTAAAGAAAACATTGCCCAGGTGATGGTACCAAGTGGGCATGAGCCAAGGGTTAAGAATAAGAAGGCAATGGAAAGGCAGAGGAGAAAGATTGATCAGTATCCCAAGAAGGCCAAGACCACGAAACCTGCTTATGGCTTAACTGGCCTGGAAACTACAAGCCAGGTGTTGCAGGCAATGACACTCTAGGCCACCCAGGTAGGAGGTGTGCAGGGCATAAGGAGATGAGAGACAGGCTCCAGCACCGCCCTTCACAGCCAGGGACCCAGGACCTCCTATAGCTCCTAGACAGAGTCATCCCCCTGGAGTTCTACCCTACTCCCACCAGTGCTTCTCTATGTGGCAATGAGCCTGAACACATACCTGGCCTGGAGTGATGGGAGCACAGTCATGGGTGGGTTGGTGTGAACTGTGAACCCCACCACTCACCATATGTTTACTCATTCAGTTTTTTAGAAGTGGGCATTGGACATCTGGTTTATGCAAGGAAGGTGCTGTTTTAAAGATGGGCATACGTCCTCGTTTCTACACAAACAGAAGCATGCCCTGCTCACACTTCTGCTTTTCGCGTTTTCAATACATTTTTTGCATTATTTCATGGCACTATACAGAAAGCTGTCTCAATCTTGGCATAGCTATACAGTAGTACTCCATTGTACAGACTTGTCATTAGTCCATCCTCCTATGGGTGAACATTTAGATTGTTTGCGATCCTCTTATCTTTACAAAGAATGCCACCAAATGAATAAGCTGGTCCATATGCCATTTCCCAGGATTTCAAAGTATTTGTAAGTTCATAGAAACAGAGTGGCTGTGTCGAGGAAGTTTACACTTGTGGTTTTGATAGCTGTACTAAGTTGCCCTCCCCAGGGACAGCGCTCGTTACACCCCATCAGCCATGTACCCGAGCGAGCACTTTCCAACGCTCAGCAGCACAATGTTTCGTCATTTTTTTTTTTAGTATTTGCCAATCTGATAGGAAAACATTGATTTCCAGATGTAGTTTTAATTTTCATTTTTCTTAAATGAGTAAGGCTGAGAATATTTTTATATATTTGAATCTTCTGTCTGCTCATAGCCTTTCCCCATTTTTTTCTATTGATTATTGGTCTTTTCCTTGATCTGGAACACCTCTTTATAAATTAGGGAAATTAGCCCTCTGTCTGAAATACAAGTTGCAGATGGTTTTCCCTTGTTTGTCATTTTCCTTTTGACTTTGTTCATGTGAGTTTTTTAATATGGAAAACTTTCATTTT